CGGGGGGACTGGCCCCCGGGCCACCCTGCCCCTTGCCAGGCGCCGCCGCCGCCAACTCCCGGGACTCCGTGTTTGGGGGAGGTAATAAACCCCACCCCACCCACAGCTCCGACTGTAATGTTTGTCACTGCTTGCCCATCACTAGGGGTTGAGAGGAGTATGACAGGTCTTTGTTGTCTGAATAAAAATCAGTGGCAGCTCAAGGGAGAGAACTCCTCCTACTAAATTATCAAAAATGGGCTGGCTTTAGTCTCTTAACAAATTGGACAGAGCTCCGGAAAGCAGCAGTCCCAAATCCAACCTACAGGCACTGGGAACTTTAAAGCAACCAGGGACTGCTGAAAATAGCACTTCTTTTTGCTTTCTTTGTATTCAAAACTATATCCTTTCCCGACCGATTCTACTGCCCCAGGTCCAAGTCTCTCCAGTCAGGAGCCCTAGCTCTCCAGAACAGTAACAGATCCTTTAGCTCAATTTTATTATTTTATTTTTTAAAACTAATTATTATTACGTTTTCTCCCCCTTGTTTGTTTTCTGCACATCTTCAGGAAGCCCTCGGTGCTTGTGCAAAGAGAAGCTCCTATTGCAACCTCCCTCCGTGCGCTGTGCGCCTCGGTGTAAACATTTTGGATGATCTAAAGACTCTGGGGTCTGTATATGGAAATAGTGGGGTGCAGAGCAGAAGAAAATACTTGTCCTTTCCGTCCCCCAGCCATGCTTTTCCACGGGATCTCCGGAGGCCACATCCAAGGAATCATGGAGGAGATGGAGAGGCGATCCAAGACCGAGTCCCGGCTGGCCAAAGGGGGACAGATGAACGGCCGAGAAACGGTAAGAAAGCAGCTGGCACTCTTTGCAAGGGAATCCCTGCAAGCATGGACCCTCACCGGGACAAACCCTGGCTTTGGGGAAGAGAAAGACGCTGCTTCCCTCTGCCCCTTCCCTGCCACTCCTTGCTTGTCGAACCCCTTCCGAGGCTCCCTGTAAACCCATCCGTAACACTGGGTGCTGTGCTGGCCAGGCTCGGTTATACATTTGCCTAATTAATGTCGGTGCGTGTGCTCTCTGGAATAAGGGGGAAAATATTTTAAATGGTACCAGGGACGGGTTTTCAGCTCCTGCAGCGAAGCAGCCTTTTGCCCCTGCTCGGCTCGCTGCGGCCGCTCTGCCCCTCCGAGCCGGGCTGCAGCTGGAGCTCCCGAAGTGTGCTTTACTTTTTTTTTTCTGCACTCCTGGCACCTCCTAAATTCAACCGCAAACCGCGACTGCTTACTTTTCGTAACCGTTTTTGGTCTGAAGTGTGTGATTGATACAAAGAGGCACCGCTCTCTCTGAATGTTATGCCGGCCGACTACTTGGCTTAGACGTAACATCTCCTCTTTCTTCAGTCAAAAGGACCAAAGTCTTAAGAATGTAGTAAGGGATGGAGGAGAAACTGAGTGTCACGTTGGGCTTTGTGCAAAGCGAGATCTCCATTTCTCCAACTTGTAGGGCTTCCGCCGATCGCGCACAAGGCTCCGCACACAAAGTAACGGCCTGGAAAACTGCTTTAAGGCTTTGGGCCATAGGGTTCTTCCCCCCTTCTCTTAAATAAACTCCCGCTTTGTTACATGAGGATTTGCAATGTAAATTTAACTCGCCTTTTCAATTGCAAAAAAAAAAAAAAAAAAAAGGGGGGGCGAGGAACACAACTTCAGATTGGAAAATGAATGCGGAGTTGCCACTTTAAAACAGTTGCGACTTTAGAACAAGATTTTTTCCCTTGTTACTTTAGCAGCTAACGCTGCCCCAAGTTTCACGGCAGAGCTTTTGTCTCCGCCGTCCCTCCGTCTCCCTTTGTCCCGAGCGACATTCCTCGTGGGGAGCAGATCAATGGGAACTTACAGAAGTTTAGTGACGAAAAGATGCTAGTTTGAGCTGAAACCAGCCTGTGCTACCTTTCTGCCCACGGCCGCGGCCGGGCTGGTGAACGTTCAGACTTACTGCTCTTTACACCATCCACCTGTCTCCTTTCTCTTACTCCTGTTTTAAATGGCCTGGCTTTCTTTAGAGAGGCGGTTTCGGCTCGTTTAGTGAATGAAAATTTGCCGTAGAATGAGTGCAAGCCTGAACCCTTTGCCATAAACTTTTGAAACAGCAAACGCGGTATTTTCATACTTTAAAATGCTGCTCCTGTGAAGTGCTTTAAGATTAAAACGCTAACATAACGGTGAAGCCTCAGATTTTAACTTCGTACCTCAGTAAAGAATGGGCTCTGTTTTTCCTTACTGCGGCCTAATCAGTTGCCCTCCTGTATTGAAATGACATTACAGCGTTAGGAGAGGTTTACTGGTATAAACACAAAAGCTGATTCGCGGTAAACTCTTTACTAGGTGGGATGCTGCCGGTTCCCCCTTAAACTTCCCGCCGGGAGCAGAGTTTGGTCCCAGAGAGCAGTCTCTTTGTAGGAGCCCCAGGCCCTGCGCAGAACCCGTCCCAGCCCAGCCTGCCTGTCTTTCTCTCCCTGTCTCATCCCTTGTGGTGTGGTTGTTTTGCAGAACATGCCCCCCATGAGCCCCGAGAAGCCTGCTTTGTGTGCTGGTTGTGGAGGGAAGATCTCAGACAGATATTACCTGCTGGCTGTTGACAAACAATGGCACCTCAGGTGTCTTAAGTGCTGTGAATGTAAACTGGCTTTGGAGTCAGAACTCACCTGCTTTGCCAAGGACGGCAGTATTTACTGCAAGGAGGATTACTACAGGTACAGCAATCAGTCCCCATGGGTTCAAAAGCACATCCCCTCAAAAGGCATTATATGAACCGAAATGCTCTTTTCTCCACATGGGCTTTCAAAGGTAGCTTTTCGCAGCCATCGATTCCTTAACCCTCTAAACGTGTCCCCTCCGAAAAGTCTGGCACGTTCAAAATCTGAACGGACCGTCGGGGACTGAGCATGTGTGGCGGTACACAAACAGGCGAAGGGTCTCGCGCTGCTCGGCGGTTTCCCTCCCTAAATACCCGCGTGAGACCCAACAGAAATTCCCTCTGCCCGCAGTTGCCGGTTCCCCGCGGGCTGGGGATGGGCGCGGGGTTGGAGCGGAGGGTGCCCTGAACGGGCACTGCGTATCGTGCCTTACAGCCGCGCCGGGCTCAGCTCTCCGCGGCCCTTCTCGTCTGGACAGCAGTGCCAGGAGAGCGGGCACTGCTCCCCCCGCCCCGTCCTGCCTGTCTCCTCGCACACGGGCGGCGGGAGGGCTTTGGCCGAAGTCCGGGAGAGCAGGGCATCCCCCGAGACCCCAGCGCCGGCTGCCCGGGCTGTCCCGACTGCAGGGATCCCTGTCGGCGACACGGGCCGTCCTGGAGCCTCGGGGGTCGCGATCCCGTCGGGGACAGGCTCCCTCCCGTGGCCGGGAGGAAAGGCGGGCGGCACCGGGGCGAGCTCTGCCTTTGCCGTTCTAGTTGATGCCCACTTTTCTGTTTCCTTCAGAAGGTTCTCCGTGCAGAGATGTGCCCGCTGCCACCTTGGGATCTCAGCCTCTGAAATGGTCATGAGAGCCAGGGAGTCGGTTTATCACCTGAGCTGCTTCACCTGCACCACCTGCAACAAGACTCTGACCACGGGCGATCACTTTGGCATGAAGGACAACCTGGTTTACTGCAGGGCCCACTTCGAGTCCCTTTTGCAAGGAGAATACCCCCCTCAGCTGAGCTACACCGAGCTGGCTGCCAAGAGCGGAGGGCTGGCCCTGCCTTACTTCAACGGCACTGGCACGGTCCAGAAGGGGAGGCCCAGGAAAAGAAAGAGCCCTGCCTTGGGAGTGGACATCGTCAGCTACAACTCAGGTGGGAATCACAGGCCGAGCCTGCCTCCCTCTCCCCCGAACAGAGCGTTCTCGGGCTTCCCCTCAGCTAGGCAGTGCGTGAGTAACTCAGCCAGGCCAAATCTTGCTTAACCATTGGAAAATCAAACAAACAGCCCTCTGAGGGTTGGAGCGTTTGCAGGAAAGCTAACAGCAGCCTTCCTCAAAGGCTGTCTTTGCCTATTAATGTCAAACACCCAAACTTAGCCACTTCCCAGGGTAAAGACCAAAAAAAAAAAAAAAAGAAAAAATGAAAAAACCCCAACTCAACCCCAAAACCACATCGCTTTTTCTCTATAGGAATCTCAGAGATACTGTTAGCATTATTTATATTTGATTCGCTAAAAACATTTCACCACTTAAACCTCAAATTAGAAGTGACCAGATGAATCAGAAAAAAATAGAATAAAAGTTATAGTATATGGCTCCTACAGTGCTGCTGTAGTATGCACATAACTCGATTTAGATATGCAATTTATAGTGACTAATTCTTCAGGCTGAATAATTCTGTTTTGCTGGCACATAAACGATCAAACTGTACAAGAGGTCAACGAATAAATGTTGTTCCCTGTAACTAAACCCTAAGACATGTAATTAAGGAGAACGGTTTCTCTTATCTCAGCAGTAGGAAAGGAACAAGTGTTGCTCTGTATTAAATATCTTCCCTAACTTCAGTCACTTAACTCCCCAAACCGTGTATAAACAGACAGTGCTAGTGGCCAGAGGTAAAGGAGTTTCAGGTATGATCTAGCATTTAAATCGGTTTCATTAGGTGGAAGACGAAAGCACTAAGTGTAAATACGAATTAACAGACTCCTTACTCCAAAATTACTTTATCGAAACTTAAGCTCCCGATAGACGGTAAGGAGCAAAGAAAGCTGTGGGAAGCAAGAGTGGTGCAAGGTGTTTCCCCATGAAGCAGGGAGCCGTTCCGGCCGGGGCAGGGAGTCGGGGGCTGTGAACCGCTGGTCCCACCGGGGAGCTGGGAGAGGGGTCAGGGCCTCCCCTTCCGACAATCGCGAGTCGATAACAGTGCATCGCTGTCGGCGCGGAGCTCTCTCCCCTCCACCAAGTTCAACCCGCTGCCACTGAGATCCATAAGG